GGGACAGTGCTGGCTGTTTTTCCTCATCATGCTTCTAAATCCTGGTCATCTTACTTGTCAGGTCCCTGCTTCAAGCCTCATTCCCAGGGACCTGTCAGCACTGCTAGAGAGCCACTTCCATCAGTTCCCTGGGGCAGAGCTTGGAGCAAGTACTTGCTTAGTGTGCCAGAGAGAGAGAGAGAAAGAGAGAGATTATAAGGGATTGGCTGACTCATTTATGGAGGCAGGCAAATCTGAAGATCTTCAGGGTGAGGTAGCAAGCTGGAGACCTAGGAGAGCCAATGATGTAGTTCCAGCCTGAAGACCAGAAGTCTCAAGACCCAGAAAGAGCTGATGTTTCAGTTTGAGTCCCAGGGCAGGAAAAAGCTGATGTCCCAGTTTGAGGGCAGTCAGGGAAGAAGAATTCTCTTCTACTCTGAAAAGTGTTAGTATTTTCATTCTGTTCAAGCCTTCAGCTGATTGGATGAGGCCCACCTACATCAGGAAGGGCAATCTGCTTTACTTTGTATACTGATCTAAATGTTAATCTTATCCAAAAACAATCTCCCAGAAACACCTAGAATAATGTGTGACCAAATATCTAGGTACCGTATGGCCCAGGCAAGTTGTCACAGAAAATCAACCATGAAACTTGGCATGTGGGCAAGTCAAAGCAGGTTCTGTTACCAGCAGCATTTTTCAAGGACAGAGAGACTTTTTCTTGTTCCAGAAATCAGGGAAAAATAGGGTATACTTTATACCAACTATCTGACTGTATAGCTACAAGGTAGAGTTCATGATGTATAGAATAATAATCCTTTATTTACTTATTAGCACTTTGCCTTTGTAAATCACTGCTTGAATATGCACCATCGTGTATAATATTTATACTCTTCCAATAAAGGTATTCTTATCCTCACTTGATAGATTTAAAAAATGAGACTTACAGAAGTTGGACAATTTGTCCGAGTTTAAAGAGCATTAGGAGCCATGATTGAAAACATGCAGTCTTGCTCCACAACTATACTCTTAACCAAGATGCCCTCTAAGGCTTTTTCTTTATGCATTATTGTCATTAAAGATGATACTTAAATGACATAATGTACAGAATGCTTAAGGCACTGGTACACAAAAAAGATCTCAACCGCCCTTACTTGTTACTAGTTGCAATTATATTCAGAATATGTTCCTTTTATATATATAGAATAGCCTGAAAAGTATACATTTTTGGTGGGTAGGAAAACCAACATTCAGACCCCAGTCTTTTGCTCCCAAGGCCCCAAACCCAGGGGTTTTGATTATGAAACATGCAAAAACAGTATTTTTCCCCTTCTACTGTGCCTACATGGTGAGTAGATATACTGTATCTCATGATTTTTTTTAAGTACTTTTTGTCACTAAGGCAAATGCTTAAATCACCATATAATCCAGAGCATTCATTATAGTGTTGTTTACAAAACTGTTGTCATGAAAGAAATAGCTTTGTTAATCTCCCACAAATCACAGGTAATGAATGGGCGTCAGCTTTTCCTAAGATGGAAAAGGTAGTCAAGATGTGTGGACTTGCCAGGAGCTGCCAGCAGGTCGCTGGTGTAAAAACATATTAGCAGGCCCTGAGTTCCTTGTACAGGCCGCATTAGCTCTCTTACAACTCCTTCCGTTCCATCTGAGGACTTGCTCATTTCAAGGTTGGTTTATGTGTTGGTGAAAATCGTGTCTGCGAGTTGGACTGAAGCAACACTGGGCACTGAACGATTCTGCCTCCGGTTTACTACAGCTTCATTTGTTCTTTGTTTATAGAGCCATTGCTTCCCAATGACGGATGGGCCGAGAGCGAACTGCGACCTTCTCCACCTCCACATCCCGCCCTGGAATTGGGCCTTGAAGATTACAGCCACAGGTATCAATAAAATGATATGCCATAAATGTTCCTTGTTATGGTTTTTTGGGGAAAACCCAGCAACCTTATTTTAACTCTATTTCTTTCCAGAATGGAAATCTCATGATGTCTGTAATTCCTTCCCTGTGCAAGTTTCTCAGAGCTGATAGCTTTGATTGTTTGTAGTTTGCCTCTTGGAATTTGTTAAGCTACATCATATATTATAAAATATTTAAGAAAATTGTTAAATTTTCTTTTGCCAAGTTAAAAACTAGAACAGTGGAACACAAAGAAAAGTTATATGGGAAGCTGTAAAACAAAACTGCAAAGACATAAAGCTTAGGTTTTTTATTTTTTCTTCTTTTGTAATTGGCAAACCCTAAAGGTATTTTTAAAATAGCTGTTCCAAGAAAGTTAATGGAATCTAAGAATTAAAGCAATACCATATATAACCTAAAATATTGAAAAGAGCGCCCAATATTATATCCATTTTGTAATAGAAACCAAAAAAATCAATATTTTTTAGCATCATACAAGCATGAGAGAGAGAGATTTACTAAGCGAACGTACCATTTGACTAGTGGAATTCATACATTTTGTTCTTCTGGTGAATTTTAAAACTCATTAAATTGCCCCTTTGCTGCTTTCTATATTTATTATGGCTGTTTAAAACTGTGCATTTTATTCCATTCTATGTCCCATGATAATCCTGTGGAATTTTTTCATTTTTCTTGCAGCAATACTGGTGTTATTCCTATTATACTTTTTATTACAATCTCCTAAAAATAAAGCAACATAACAAGGGTATAGCTAACTCTATTAGCTAGATGCTTACCTATATTTAGCCGTCTCTGATGCCAACATTTTTGAAGTCAGCTGTCTTACTCAAGGACAGTTTCACAAACTGGAATGATAATGGCAATCATGTTCTAGATCAGTATCTCTGGGGGTTTCTTGAAAGAATATCTGGACATATTTAGTTTTACTCATTCATTTCCATTGCCTGCTTCGATCCTGAATTAAAAATGACAGACTGGCGGCATAAAAAATTTCACGCAAAAATAACTTTATTTATTCTACTTCAGTGTTTATCCTGTGTGTATATGCAAAACTCTTGGGATAATACAAAGAAGAGTCAGATGTAAACCCTGCCCTTGAGAAGATGGTAGGCCAATAGGACAAGTAGGACACAAGGTACAAAGTAATATTTACCAGAAGGTACATAGATAAAAAGCTCTGGACATCTAAGGCAGAGGAGAATGCTTCCAGATAGAGCAGCAGAGAAAACATTACGGAATAATGCGGCACTTGAGATGAATCTTAGCGGATGAGGAGATGGACATGAGGTGAGCCCAGGAAGAAAGGGAAGTTCAGAAAGAAGGGAAAGTAGAAGGAACAGCATGCAGGTGGGAAAGTTAGCTGATTTTTATTTTATTTTATTGTTGAGAGTATTACCGATGTCCCACATTCCCCCCCTTTGCCCCCCTCCACCCATCTTCCACCCCACCCCAGGCCTTCACCCGCCTGTTGTCTGTGTCCATGGGCTATGCATATATGCTTATAAGTTCTTTGGTTCCTCTCTTCCCACCTTGATTTTGATTTGTGCAACTTCTACAGCGGCTGATTGGCCGATAAAGCCCAGAGTGCAAGGATAAGGGATACAGATTTCATTCATTAGATAGTAAAATCTTATTATAGGGTTTCAGCAGACAGTAGCCTGATATGACCCAGGTTTTAGTTGTTTGTGACACAAATTAGGTAAATGGAGGAGGGGTAATGTTCACTAGAAACACAGGCTCTTTGTAGGGCCTGCCCTGGGGAGAATGGGAGAAGCTTTCAGATTGTTACCAGAGAAAGACCTGGACCAAGGTGGGTCTGCCCCAGCTCCATCTGGAAATAGGTTCTTGTGGTGTCCCAAGAAAGGAATTTCAAGGACAGTCGCGAAGGAGAAATTTAAGCAATAGTGGCAGGAGTTATCAGCGCGGCCTTGAAAAGGCTGCCGCACTCTGGGGCACATGCTCTGCCCTCAGCTGGTGGGTCCTGTTCTCTGGCCCTAGGTACACCCCCTCCACCCATATCTCACCCATGACCAAGGGGGTTAGCTCGGTCTCACTGCGGAAGTCTAGCTTCCAGGGTGCAGGTCTGCACTGGTCCCCACCAGGCCAGCAGGAGGGCCGGGCCCATGGTTGCCGTGCCATCGCCCTGACATCGGAGGCTCAGCAGTCTTAGTCTCTGTTCCCTTCAGGTCCAGCCTGAGATCAGAGCTGCTCCAGAGACTGGGGCTTTCACTGTTTCCCTCTATTTCCTTGGGTTTGGGAAGAGGTAAGCTTTCTTTGAAACTATCCAGTCTTTTTCCTGGATCTTCCTGGGCCTGTGCTGATGCCCCTGGCCCTATCCAATCCCTTTCCTAGATCTTCCGTTTCCTGCGCTTTTTCCTAGCTGGTCTTTTCCCAGGCTTGTCTCCTCCCCTTTATCGCTTTATGGTCCCCATTTTGGCTCCTACTGCTCATGACCCATCAAAAGGACGCCCCGTCCCGTTAACCTGGGGGAGGCTGCTGCCTGGGGTGATTGGAAAGCTCATCTTCCCTGCCCACTCGGATATTAATTCGTTTGGCCAAGTGATGGTGGCCGCTCCCTGGAGTGACTGTGAAACTGTAGTTCCCCGACTTAATCAGGCTCAGCCAGTCCTCGCCCTTCTCTTTTGTTAATGCCTAACTAGCTGCCTATGCTAACAAGATGAAAACCCTTCAGGAGAGAGAGTTCAGAGATGTCACAGACATAGAATTATGGAGAATTAGCAACTGCCTTTTGGGATGCTTCAGTGTCTCCACAGATTTTTTTTTCCCCTCACCCTTTTCAGGAAAGCTCTTTCCTCCACGATCTTGAAAAATAGCTTTTGTTGGCCTTTCCTGCTGTGAATCTTCATTACATGATTTGAAATCCTAACTTCCATTTCTCTTCCCCCCTCTTCCCCCCTAACCCCTGTGTTTCCGCTTCTGCTCCCACCACTTGGCTAGAATTGCTCTCTTAACCATCCACGGTAGCCTCCTTTCAGTGAAAAGCACGCCATTGCCTCGGGCCTGGTTCTTTTACGTTCCCCACAGCCCGAGTCATTCATCTGCTCACTCGTCCCTTCGGAAGCATTTCTGGAGCTCTGAGCTAGGCGCTGCAGCAGGTGCTCAGGCCGGAAGGCGTCCTGCCCGTGAGGAGCGCAGCCTCCTCTTGGGGAGACAGCCGCGCGGGTAGTTAGGGAGCAGCCTGCTGGCCGAGCATTAGATACAGGGTGCTGTTGGGGCCCCAGGGAATGGGCCACCAGCTCTGCCTGCAGGCCTCCAGGCAAGTTTGCCAGGAGGAGGGTTGAAATGGTCCCTTGGAGAACAGAAAGGGGCTTTCGAGGCAGAGAGGGGGTGGGCAGGGCACTTAGGTGAGGGACCCCAAGTCATGGAGAGGGAAGCGCAGAGCGTGTTCGGGAGGGCCGAAGCCCGCGGTGTCGGGGGGAATCCACGGGAAGGCCGCGGCTGTCTCGCTCCGTGGGCACCACGCTTCTCCAGAGGGCAGCGGAGACGCATCGAAGGCTTTCATGCCTGGGCGACGGTATCAAGTGGGGTGAGCTCGGTTGTGGGGAGAGTGGACGGAAGAAGCCACAGGCGAGGTCACCAGCCTGGGGACTGGCAAGAGGACAGAAGGGCTCGAATGAAGGGAGGAGCAGCAAGGGGGAGAGGGAGAAACAGAGCCAAAGACATTTTCGAGATGGAAGGAACAATCTCAGGCTTTGTGACTCGCTCCCTCCTGGGAGCCCGTGGCCTGCGCCGTCCTGCAGGCTGCTGGGCGCCTGGGTGACCGGCGGCCGTGGGGCTGGACGTGCGAAGCTTGGGGTGGAGGAGGAGCGGGAAGGGGTCCGGGATGGCTGAGCAGACGGGGCTGGGAGGCCGTCCTGTCTTTCAAAATAAGCAAATAAATAAATAAACAAACGTTGAGAGCCGTCTAAAGGGGCAAGAGGCGCTTTAGGGGTGGAGCCAGGCGTGGGAAGCTGAAAACTGCCGTTGCATAAGTGAAAAACAAATTTGAGCAAACTCGATGCCTGTACTTTGAACCAAACCGAAATCAGGAATTTACTGAACTGATTTGTACTATTATGTCAGCGATTATCAGACAAAAGTTTAGAATATGTATGTCTAAGTAAAAAGTAAATAACTAAAAAGGAAATACATTTTCCACTGTGATATCTCAGGGACAGTTTCAGACAACTTGACAGCAGACAGAATATATTAACCGTTTAGACAATATTTGGTTATTCCCTGCGTGCTCATGTTTCCCTCCCTCTTGGTTCTGTCTCATTTCTCTGTCTGTATCCCCCCCTCCCTCTCACACACACACACACGACCTGCATCTACGTCGCTCATAGCAGCCAGTTGTTGGAGCCTGTTCATGGACGCCTCAGACGTCCGACGTGATTTTTGCGGCGTGCCCCTCAAAACCTCCTTCCCCCGCTTTCGTTTCAGACACTGGCATGTGCTTCATGCCACCCTCATTTGTTCGTTAATGCAGCATGATTTGACACCGAGTGTCATTTCTATCCGCTAGAGCCCCTGGTGGTTCATGCTGAAGACACAGCCCTTACCTGAGACATGCCTTCGGCCTGCTGCCAGCTTCCAGCTTCCCACAGCACCCACTGCGGTCCGCTCAGCCGGGAGCACGTGCTGACTCCCTTCAAAAGTAAAACGTGTCATATTTTATCGTTAATCATCGTGTCACTCTCCCGCCGAAGAACTTTTAATATGTAGCGTAAAACTGAAAAGTGTTTTTGCTAGTCTCACTGACATGTCTAAAATATTTTCACATTAACTAATCCAGTACTACACTCAGTGTTTACGTGCAGTGTATGCTCGCGTTGGCTTTAATCCCACCGTGCCTCCCATTACACTCACTTCCCTCCTTAAATATCTGCCAGTCTGATACCAGCCTTCTTTTGCCTTATTTCCATTTGTACCTTTGCAAGAGGGATACTTCTATTAAAGGTTTTCAAAGTGTACACTGGGTCACATTCAAAACAATGGTAGCTGATGTATCTATCACTGCGATTAACTTAATGGACATATATATGTATAGGTATACACATAATATCTGTGAATATTTGTTACATGTATATGTACAAAGCAGCTTTTTATTTCTTTGATCTTCCTTAATTATATCTCAACGTATCTACAAAAAAAATTCACATCATTTAGACAGAGCCTTACTTGATGTTATTGCATCAAGTGGCATTGCCACCTGGTTTTTTGGTTTTTTGTTTTTAATGGAGATTTTAAAACTCTCCCAAGAGTCTGGAGAAATTTAGGCTTTTATTCTTAATCTGTTGATCAATGCGTAGTTCGGTAATCTAAGACAATGATGCACGTTGACTAGCATGTTTCCCATTTGGGTAGATTCCCGTAGCCTGCCTTGAGCAGAGGCCTTTACGTGCATGTGCCCTACGTTTTAATGAGGACTATTCATGCTGGTCCTGAACCTCCTCCCTAAAGGCTTTCCTTATAACATGCGGCATCTGTTTGGATTAACTCTTTGGTTTTCCTTTATTGCATAATATGCACCCCTCTACTGAAACAAAAAGCTACCTTGAAATGCAAGAAGCACCAGAGCGTGAGCAAATCTGTACTAATAGGGAAAGTTTCGATTTCTTTGGATTCAGGATCAGCAACAACCGGTGCCTCAGGTTGGCCACCATTTGAGCCAAAGTTTTTGTGGCTCTGGGAAAAGTTCAAAGAAACCACAGTTCTTGTCGTGGCGTGGCCACTGCCAGCTGTGGCACATCCGCCTCCTCTTTGGGCCTCAGTGTCTTATCCACAAGATGTAGAGTTAGATGAGGTGACCTTTCACACCTTCTGGCCCTTACAGCCTCTGACTCTCTGAAGCCCATGAGTCTTTCTGACACTAAAACCACATCATCACAAGAGATCAAAGGATGAAAATCTAAGTGCACGTAAAGGTCAGATAACATAGTTAAAGGCAAGTGCTTCCAAGCACCACGGCTCGGGGGAGGCTCGTGTTCACAGCAGCGTCTCCGAATTCTTCAGGATGAGCTGAAACAGTGGAAGCGCTGCCATTATGCGAGGCCAGTGGCAACAGCACTAGTGGGCCAAGGGTTTTTGTTCACAGTTGGCATATTTTGCCACCACTAGACACTACTACATCTAATACACTTTCTATGTCAGTGGCTTTATCTGTTGAGAATGTAGACAGACATCAAGAAAGAAGCCAAAAGAAGAGCTTCAAATTCTAAAGAGTAGATTTAAACGTCTTGAGAAATTTTTGTGAAAACGTATAATTTCTTCACTGCAGAGTGTGTCAGGCCCTCATTCAAAGACCACTCTAACCTACAGAAATACAGAAGAGTATGAATAGCTCACTTACTGAGCTCTTACTGTATGTTAGGCACTATTGTCAGTATTAACAAATTTAATTTATTAATCCCTACAACAACCTTATAAAGCAAGTGCTGTTACTGTTCGTTTTATGCTCTAGCAAACTGAGGCCATGGACCCCCGCACCTCGCGCCCAAGCCCAGGGCCCTAACCATCACACCGCACTGCCCTTCTAAATGGGAGGAGACAAGGGGTCTTAGACACAGAGCTACTAAGGGGCTGAAAAAACAGAGAAGGCAAAGAATCTGTAAAAAGCCTGGACAACTCAAAAAGCAGAAACTTGCATTCATTTGGGAACTGAAGCATATTTATTTATTTATCTGCTTATTTGTTTCCTAAAAGCTTCTATAGAACTTACCCTGTGCCAGACACCATTCTCCTGACTTTCAAATCTTGACTCACTTTATCTCTTAACAATCTTATAAGACAGGGAGCGTAATGATATCCATTTTCTACATAAGGAAACTAAAGCACAGAGAGGTTCAATAACTTTCCCAGGTCACACAGCTAGTCAGCAGCAGAGCCAGGATTTAGAGCTGGGCAGGCCCGCTGTGGCATCTGTGCCCTTGCGCGCTGTGCTCTGCCACCTGTCCCAGGTACTTCTTTCATCTCCCCGCTATATTACAATAAAAGAGGTTCATTCATTCCTTCAGCAATATTATTATAGCTGCACATTAATTTTAATATCACTGTAAGGCAATATTAAATATGCATGACTAATGAGTTTCAATAAAAGATTAAACTTATTTTGGTATATTTGGTTAAGAAACTGAGATCTCCTGTACATTTTAGAAGGGTTCTCATTCATAATAGTTTATTTTTGTTTGTTTGTTTTATTGTTTATAGTGTCAAATCCCAACTGTTTGAAACCCTCAACCTCAGTACTGTCAGACTTACCAAGGATACTTGAATTATTTTCACTGTATTTAAGATTAGGGTAAAGTTATGTTAAAATGAGCCACCGTATTTACTTTTTAAACATACAGGAGTACCAAGGGAAAAGGTAGCTGTAATCAATGAGAGGAAAATGGGGGACATCTGTAATACTCTCAACAATCAAAATAAATATATATGTTATTTCCAGACCAAGAAATAAGCTATCGTCTGTAATTCCCTTATAGAATCCCCTCCATCCTCAAGCAAAAAAATACAATATTCAGCAGAAATAGAATTCTTTGAGATTGACTACAAGTACTAGGAAGCCTATAATGAACATTTGATATATTTTGTGTCTAAATTGTCAACTGTGCTTTCCCTGTTATTTCCTTTCGGTATTATTGATGAGTAGACTATTTGCTCAGCATTAACATTAGTTTTAGATACCAGGCCTAAAAAAAGTAGGAAACCAAACTGCTGTAGCCATCAGTCATTCAACAGGACGGTGTTCTCTAAAGGATACACCTTTTCACTTGTTTTCAAAGGAAAGGCATGCTTAGCCCACAGAAATCTCTATACCGGTTTCTAGGCTCCGCTAATATCTGGCGACATCCTTTGAAGTGCAAGTGCATTCCAGACTCGCCTTACACACTTAAAGTTATAGATTGTACAGCGGGATCCCAATTAGCGGAAACCAGTGACGAGGAAAACACGATATTAGCCAGAGAATCTTTTATTTCAATTGTAGAGTGTGATAAAATACATGAAAATAGAATTGCTCCATCTCAGAAAAGAAACCTGAGATTCAAGAATTAGCTTAAAATGCATGGTTTTGAGCTGCAGAGAGAGTGATGAGGGCCTCTGTTCATAATGAGGTCTGCTTCCTTAAAAAATAGAGAGAACCCTGGCCGGTTTGGCTCAGTGGTTAGAGCACTGGCCCACGGACTGCAGGGTCCCAGGTTCGATTCCAGGCAAGGGCACGTACCTCGGTTGCAGGCTCGATCCCGGCCCTGGTCTGGGCAAGTACAGGAGGCAACCAATCGATGTGTCTCTCTCACATCCATCTCTCC